TCACAGAAACTATTCTGGTTGGTCGAGTTTATGGGACGAGTTTCTCAGATCTCCTGCGGCCGCGCGTATTAACTCTAAGTAGATAACTCATTTGATATGGTTTGATGCATCGTAAATAATACTAAAAATAATATAATTGTGATTCGTGACTCTGAGGAGAGCGCTAAAGCTCCTCACCAGGTTGAACCTGCATGATGAGGTTAGCGCTGCTCGTTATCCGCAAACGCTCTGGCCAACTGGGACCACAGACATAAACTTTACAGGGAAGACAGACACAGAGCCACACACCGGGAAGCGTGTTGAGATGTAAACGCCGCATATAATTGTTCGTTCACAAAGATAAATCATTCTCACCACTCCACAACGCGCCTCTGAATTCGCTACAAGTTATTCCTGCGGTTCACATTGAGCTGCGCAACCAGAGCTAACGCGGCGGGTTTAAAACTCTTACCTAGAGTTCTCCAAAGGATCATAATTCCTCACAGTAAGTTGATGTAAATAGCCATACAGGTCAGCCTGTGTACAGTTTGAGTGAAAGGAGGCGCGCGCGATCCCGCTGAGGTAAAGCAGCGGCAGCGCGCGAGGCAAAGCGCAAAGGCGCCAGCGGTGTGATTGGTCCGCGCGCTGTCGGGTTTAAATGCATAAACTATAAACCTATGATTTAGGAATAAATCTGATCTGTTAGTGAAATGCTCAGAGCAAAAGAGACGCTTGGAGCCTGGCTTTAAAAAAAAAAAAAAAAAGATTTTTTTTTTTCCCCCTAGAAACATAAACAAGCAACACTTAGCCTGGCAGCGGGGCTAGTAAAGCATGGCGGGCCGCCAGGCTTATAATACAGTGGGGGAAAACCTGCATTAAATATAATTGCCCACTATCTATCGCATCCAGGTAATTGTGATTGTGATAATGCACATAGTAATATTGCAGTGAGTCTTGCAGTTCATTATATTGTGCAGCACCCAGTAGTATGTAGTTTATAAGTAACTCGAGATTACTTGAGGATTTATTTTTCCTTGTAGCACTAAATCAAAGCAGAACCTTTCAGGACTTTAAATCAGTAGTAAGCCTACAATAGGAGACAAAAGAAGAATACCCTGCTAATATTGAAGCATGGTAAAGGCTCAGTGGTGCTTTGTGACTGCTTCGGTTTCTCTGACACTGTGAATCTGTAGTCTGTCGATGATGAGAGAGATTCAGGCTAAGAAGTGAAACCTTAGATGTCATTGGAGTTTCAAACAGGACACTGACCCCAAGAATAACTTAAAATCCACACAGTTTTGGTTACAGAAAAACTGCTGAAAGATACTAGTGACAGTCACTGTTTCACATCATTCTTGCCACCTTGGTTTGGGAGATCTTTCAACTTTTTCTTGACTATTCACCTGAGGCATGGTAGTCAAAATAAATCCAGTGTGAAGTGCTTTTAGATGAAGATTTTGTTGTAACATTTGGCCTATAGTCTTTTATTGACATGTTATTCGATTTATCAGGTCAGCCCCTGGTCCAGAAGGTTCTGCTGCTGCATCGAGCAACAAGCGCTTGCAGCAGACACAGGCCCAAGTGGATGAGGTAAGGTACATTTTAGCTCTTCACTCAATGATGACTCAAAAAGGAATAAAAAAAAAACACACAAAAGCAAATCACTATGTCCTTAGTGTGATTGCTTTTTTGCACAAGTGGCTACTTTGGATCTGCAATGGTTAATTTACACAAATTAGGCAGAGCTGCCTTTTCTTTCCTTTCCAAGTTCAAAGCAAATATTGAATAATGAACTCGACGTAGATTGATTGTGTCACTTAGCGCCCTCCTGCCAACCCCTCCCCTTCTCCCTGTTCATTTTGTTGCAGAAACTTACATAACCCTTGGCATCAGTGCCATGATTCACCAGACTGAATCCGTTTCTCCCTAACCGTTCTACCTCTGCACGCCCACTGCATTGCCAAAACACATTCAGGGAAGGCCATCTATTGAACAGTTTGAAGGTCTTCTTTTCACAACAAGTCATTAAGAAAATCAAATTTAAAAAAGTAGCCAAATCTCCTTCACAATCTCCATTACTGTCCTTTTCCTCTCCATTTCGTGTTTCTCCGGGAGGTCCAGCCCTCCCACCTGGACCTTTAACCTCAGTCTGTCACGCAGTTTCCAATTGGTTGTCAGAGGTTTATATAATCACCATCTCTGTCCTTATGTAAGTCCTGCATGGGCTTATGCGCTCCTCTACCGTGCAGCTCAGTCAGGGAGGAGGGGCGGTAGCGAGCTTTGTGGATCAGTGGAACATGTGGGTTACGTGTATCCAGTGACTCTGTACGCAGACTGGTGCTGTCTGTTTGAATCATAGTGAACTCTCAGTTAAGACAAACAACCTGTCAATTACCTTCTCTTACAAGATGGGATACGTCTTGATTGATGTTGTTAGGCAACATTTCCTAAGGATGTTTTACATTCATAACTATAATGTCATCATTTTTAGGGTAATACACGTGCACAGTCCTAAACTTTTATTTTCTTTCCCTTGTTAACGATTAAAAACATTTACAAGTATCGAAATATCAAATTACAAAATATATACTCTGTATATTGTTGATTTTTTTTGTGTGTTTTTAATTTTTTTTAATTTTGTGTAGGTAGTGGATATTATGCGCGTTAATGTGGACAAAGTACTGGAACGTGATCAGAAACTGTCTGAACTGGATGACAGAGCAGACGCCCTGCAGGCTGGAGCCTCCCAGTTTGAGACCAGTGCAGCTAAGCTGAAACGGAAGTACTGGTGGAAGAACTGCAAGGTAGATGACTAGTGTTGTCTTAAATTTAGCAAACTATTCACTACTGATAACAAAGTGTTATGATTATGTAACTCTGGCATTATAGTAGATCTTACCTGACTGCATGAAAATAAACGTAAAAAAAAAATGGGTGTCACAGTTTGCCTGAATTTTGTTTTAATAATTTGCCAACTTTTATTCCTTTTCAGATGTGGGCCATCTTGATAGCTGTAATAGTGATAATCATCATCATCATTATTAGTGAGTATTAAGACAAAAAAAGCTGTCTTGTTGTTGTTAATTTGAGTTTCCATTTGCCAAATGCTTGACGTTGGTATCATATTGTATTGTAAAAAGCCTTTCATATAGTGTGTTGCAATTTTTTTTAATTGTAATCGCAGTACAACCAAAGCGTGTATGTTAAAGATCAACAAAAATGGTGCTTAATTGGGAAGAGGAACTAAAAGACAAAAATTGTACTAACTGCTTATGTTAATCAATCAATCAATCAATCAGGTTTATTTGCATATCACATTTCAGCACTAAATTGATGTTAAACAATCTGCATCAGTAGTCAACATTGCATTTCTCATTGCCTAAAACTACATCTGAATTTACAGATATGCTTCTTAAAACTCTTCTTCTTTACAGTTTGGGCCTGTTCTTAGAGCCATAGCAGATTGAAGAGGATTGGAAGTAAAGAAGAATTGGGCAATATGTATGCTTCAGGTCTCAGAAAGAAATCAGATGATCACATTATTCACCTTTCCACGAGTCTTCCTTTCTTATCTCGGATTGACTTGGGTGTTTGTGTGTGTATTTGTAAAGGATTGTATTAAAACTGCAGTTTTGCTTCTGCGACGTACAACACACACACACACACACACACGCACGCACAAATTTCATTCTTGAGACTGGAAGAGAAGGATGTTGTTGTAAAATCTCTCTGCTTATGTTATTATATTATACATAGTCACTAATGTGTGCCTGGCTAAATAAATGTGCCTTTTTTTTGGATTGTATTAGTTTGCAATGCCCCTTTTGTACCACATACAGTCCATAATCAGTAAGAAACTGGTAAAACTATTTTATCAAAGTTTCTCATTTATTTTCTCCTTAGCACTTTCAAGTTGTACAAGCTTATGTTTAGATAAGTGCTTAACTGCAAAGACCAAACAGCATAACATGACCTAACTTTTTTTAAAAAAAGGCAAAAATAGGTCTTAACAGTAAGAACGGTAGGGTTGTCTCAGAGATTCTCAGAAACGTGTTAAAAAGATTGATTTTGTGTAGTGTCCAAACACAGTGATATAAGTAAATGTAGTTTCAGACTGATGTCTTAAAGGTCTACCAAATGAGAACTGCCAAATACAGGAAAAAAAACAGGTGTTTTTTTTTTTTTTTAATAATCTGTTCAAGCCAGTAACGCATTAGTGCCTTCAAATGCTCAAACTGTCAAACAAAGACTCTACCGCTGTCTTTACTCAGCTGAACATAACCTTTAATAAACTCTCCGGTTATGTCGCACCTGCATTTATTATATCTGATAACAGACTTCCCTCATGTGACACTTTACTTTTAGTGTTGAATAAATTTTGTGTGCATAAAATGAATAACTAATCAAATGCTTGGCCGAAGTTTTTTTTATGGTGCTTTTCTTGCTACTGCTGAACATTTAACACAATTCATTGTAATATATGCTATTCGACACTGGATTTGGAGTTTTCTTACTTTGTGTATAATACATTTTTCCATGACTGTGAGTGTTTTTTTTTTTTTGTTTGTTTTTTTTTTTCCTCAGAATATCTAGTTCTTATTTAAACCTCCCCTTCAAAACACATCCATGATCTGGAGTAATTAATGTATTGCAGCCTTTCTTGGGTTATAGACAATAGTGTATAGGTAATACTTTTATTGCGTACAGTAAGCCATGTTGCCAATTGCCATTTCTTTCCATTTACACAGAAATCTGACCCTCTTTAACTTTTAAGCCTTATAATTACGTGCTGGGAAATTGTCTGGTAAAGTGCAATTGTACTTTGTGGCCCTTATTAAAAACTGTTGCTTGAATAAAATTGATTGAATTTATATTAAAATCCTGTGGTTATTTTTGTTTTATTTTCTCACCTGCTAAAACATATTGGAAATTCCTAATCATTTACAAAGGTTTTCTGTCCTATTGTCTACTAAGCAAAATATTGTTAATGCTTTTCATTTGCGAAAAGCACATCAACATGTTAATGTGTGTATGAATGGGTGCGTGACCGCTTTTGGGTCCTTTGGTCTTGATAAAGCACTATACAAGTACAGGCCATTTACAATTGCTGATTAAGCAAGGTCTGTCTTACAGGCACAATAAGAAGAGTCACTTTTTTCTGCACTTACAGCTTCATGTCTTTTGACATGTCTCTACCAGCTCTACTCATCTACACACTGGATTCTTATGTCCATTCTTTGCAAAAAAGCTCAAACCTGGTTCAAATTAGATGGAAAGTACCACTGTCTTCTGTTTATCCAAAATCAGGTGGTGGGGTGAAAGATCTTGGAGAGAGACGCAATTCCTCTTCCAGCTTTTTGTGGCTTCATGTCTCTCAACCCAGCCGTTTCACACTCAATTGTAGACTGTCCAGTTGCAAGTTGACAGCTAGGGCCTGAAGAAGCCAAAAGTGCTACATTCTCTGCAAAAAGCAAAACTTGGACTGTGAGGCTCCCTATCCATACAGCCTTTTCTCCATAACTATTCCTCGAGATCCTATTCATGAACACCACAAACAGATTTTTTTTTCTTCTAAGAGATACCACAATTGGTACCCCAGTCATCCCATGACTGACTGGAGACTGACTGTGATGACCAATTATTTTTATTCAACATATTCTCATTTGGAATTGGTGTTGGACTTGAGCTTTTCTAATATGCTTTGACTGGAACAGCTCAATATTAGCCCTGGCTTTACAGGCAGGATTGTAACTCTGGCATAGTCTTTGGGGCATGGTCTTTCTCTGGAATGTAAGTTTCATCCATGTACTGCCATCCACCTTTGCATCAACTCACACCAGCTTCCCATTACCTGATGAAGTAAAACATCCCAACAATATGTTGCTGCCATCTCCGGGTCAGGTGTTTTCAGGGTGTTCATTTATATCATAATACCTCATATGTGGGTCAAAATATTAAGTTTGGTTTTATCTACCCAGAGTTCCTTAACTATGTTTGCCATGACAGGCCCATTAATATTTCCAAAACAACTCAAGCACATGCACATGCACATAGTAATGTAAAGAGATCTATTTTGTAGTTTTTTCTTTTATAAATTTAGCTTATAGCTCAATCTAATGAATTATGTTTTCATTGATACAATTCATTTGTGACTCTGGTGATGCAATTAGTTATTATCTTGGTAGAAGATGAACCCCATGATGTCAAGTCTTTTGTAACATCTTACAAGTTTTCTTCAAGGTTTTCCGTCTTCAGCTCCTACATCTTACCATCAGCTTCGACCTGCTTTTAAAGATAAGGGGATTATTATTTTTCCTTTTTTGTCTTCAGTTGATCAATCATTTTCAAATTGTACTCTGCCCTGAGCTTTCAGGATTGTGTTGAATTCAAAATGTGAAGATTTAGCGTTTCATAGAATAATATACACAAAACGACACTCCATCGGGAAAGTACTGAGATGTGCACAGACTATTCATTCAGTTGCAGAGGCGTGAGTGTGGCAGTTCGGGTGAATCAAAAATGCTTGCGCAGTCTGCTCTGGCTTGTTGTTTCCCTGTTGTATAACATGGGGATACACGTGCACCGACCGCGAGTTTCTGGCAAGCCTAGGTGTGGGGCACGCCCACACGTCCAATCAAACAACAGCTTCAAATTCTGCCTGTCCAATCACAACCGACAGGGCGGGGCTACTCTATGCCGGACTCACGTTGCACATTTGTGTCAAACGGTTTGGGCTGGATGACGTTATAAGATGCGTAACAGGGAAACAACGAAAATATATTCACTTTATACTTGCTGGATAATCAATTTTGTGGACGCCTAAGTTTTGGATATTAAACCTAAGATTCTCGTGGATCTCAAAAGGTAAATGTTTCTCAAAATAAATGTAATTTGTGATGGAGTTCTAGAGTTGGCTAACTGGAAAGGCTAGCTATGCACTTCACCCCAAGAGCAGCAAGTGAATGTAAACAAAAGTAATGTAATCGTTGTCTTTTATTAGATGATGCTAAGGTAGTACTATAATAATGTGACATACAACTTTAGGTGGGTATTTACCGTTGAAGACAATGTGTAAAAGCAATTGTTACTAGTTTGTATTGCTAATGTCGCCGTGTAACATGCAGCTAGCCAGTCGCGCTGGGTTTGCTAGCAGTCAAAAATCAGCCGATACAGTGAAATTGTGTTTCAATTACGACATGTAAATCCTAAGCAATAATAGTTGAGTGTGAGGCTATCTGTGCAGCATTTGCTTATAAAACTACATATTAAGTTACAATGACGTTATTGAAATGTTCTGGAAACATTTTAATTCTAGTTTATTGTATGTATTTTAACATAGACACAGGGAAGATTATGCACGTCACTTTAGACAAGTTGAAACGACATTAAATTACGAATTAGTCGTTTATGTTATTTGGTTTTCTTTCTGCACGTATCAAGGAGTGACGTTTGGTGATTATGGACGCTATTGGGGTCAGTGGGTTCTACTTGGGAGGGGCGAGGGAAACCTCAAACCTGTGTTATGGTCGTTTGTAGATTGTTGTGGTTTATTATCTATTTTTTGGTACAAATCAGAGGTGTGATTGGGTTAGAGATTTGAGCAATTTATATAGTAACTTTATGTGATTTTTTTTAAATTATTGTTTGCAGTCAAAGTATAAATTAAGAAAATTTTATTTAAACTTATTTTGTAAATTAAATCATTAGAATATTTTATATTATTTTAAAAAACCTGGAGTAAATTGTACTAACTCAGGATCATAAATGTGATCCTTCATCTGACTTGGCTTTTTTCCTCTTGATTTTTTTTTTTTTTTTTTTTAAAGGATACATTTTTACAGTCATCAACCTCTAACTTGATTTTCTCCAGGTTTCATCAGATTTTTCCCTAAAAATAAAAATAATTTCATTAATTTAGCCTTTTCACTATTTTAGGCTGCATTTCCCACCCCCAACTCTTTAAGCTTCCCTATTGCCATTATAAGTTAGGTTTTATTTTTTATCTTTTGTTGTAAAATCTTGGTTTATTTATATGTTTTATATTTATTGATGTTTTTCTAAATTATATCTCTGAATGCATTCATTCAACAAACTTCACTAACTTCAATAAATTATTTGGGGAGACTATTAACATATATAGATAAGTTAACAGATGAATAACTGAGTATTGGTTGATGCTTCAGGGTTATGTTTTCCTTTATTTAAACTCGGATTCATAACGGATGTCAACTGAAAACATTTAAAAAGACAACTAGATCAGATAGAAATATTTTACTAGGATTGAACATAAACCGAGTCCAAAAGTGAACTTTTTAAGACCTTCACTTTTTAAGACCTTCACTTCACTGTAGTTTTTTTTTGTCAGAGACCAAGAAAAACAAGGATGTTTTAAAATGTTCACATTTCTTAATTGTTGTATGTTTTATATCTGTTCTGCCATGTTTCCTTATTAATTGACTCTTTAGTTATTTTTCATTTATCTCCTTTAACTTGGGAAGAAATGTTTTCAGAATTAATGACAGACATTCATACTGACTGGACCTGAATAAAGGGTCCAGTCTGAATAGAGGACTATATACTTCTAGAGGTCTATGGACCATTTAGAAGTTCTTTATGTCATTACAACAAATATGCTCACAGGTTGCACAAAGCTTGTCACCACATAGGTCCATTTGGTATTTTTTTCTTTATTTATTTTTTTATTGTATTTGATGAATAAATTAACACTAACCGCAGACACTATAAATTGACAACCAACATGTACGTGACTCCATCACCAAATGTAGGTATTTACCCTGTCAGAGCTGCTTTGTTATAGGAAGTTGTCTTTTATTGCAAGAGAACATTTACGGTTCATTTTTTGAATAAAGAGTACATCAAGTCACATTTCTCACATATCTTTATAAAATAAGGCTAAAGGTTTCAGCTTATGTAATAGCCAGTGTGGCCAACTCAAATACTTTAACATGCATGTTTGCGTCACGTAGCTGCAGG